GTCCAGTTGTCCTAACTCTTGTCTTCCCACTGGACTTTGATGACTCTGGAAGAGAGGAGGGTGAAGCCGATGACTGTGTGCAACTCTGGTTCACCTAGGTCCAGTTCACTCATGAGCTAAGACATCACTCCATGATGTCACTGATCCACTTCAAAAATGAAGGATGAACAGCAAGGTTAACTTTAAAATTAAATTTGATGCCAAATTTGATTTTAAAGTACTTGCCTCAGAATTATCTCAGAATAATATCCTTGAGAATATTCAAATCCGTTAGAGAAAAGCAATTATTTAATCAAAGTTAAGTGGGAAAATTTCTCTCTAATCTATTCTAAAGATAAAACCTGCTGTGGTCTTTTTATTTTGCTTGATATGAGCCAATACCATTTGCAGGGGAAAGCATGTCATAGTGGATAGATAGGGTGCTAGATTTGGAACTCCTGGGTTCAAGTCCTGTTTCTGATAAATGATGGCTGTGTGACTCTGGACTAGTCATTTAACTTCTCAAAGTTCTAAGCAGTTAAGACTACAACTTGCAAAGTGGGCGCTAACCTTCATTGGTAGGGAAAGTCTCTCATCATGTGGTCCCTTAGCTCATCAGATCACAGAGCCAGCGCCTATCCTTATCAATGACATTTCTTAAACAACTTCTCTGTGAAGACTGTCCCACTGGCTGCCAAGGGGAGAGAGAAAAAAAATGTTTGTCCTTTGTAAGCAGGGCTACACTAGGCTTCACTGGAGCGCCATTGTCTACAAAACTAGCATGAGCCTTGAGCACAGAAATTTTATGAGGTGGTAGACATAATTGTGTTATCTTAAAAAATTAACTTGTTATCTGCTAGAATTGTAATAGAATTTAAACCTACAGTGATGCAACCTTGCGGGGAGTAGGGGGCTGAGGATAGGGCTTTACCTCATTTTCTCTTATTATATGTTAATTCCACTAGGTGGAAGCATTTGCCCAGTTTTGTATTGCACGTGTAAACAGAACATTTAAAAAAAAAAAAAGCAAATGTATTTGCTTGAAGGCAAATAACGAATGTCATTATTCTGCATGTTACTCTGCTCTCCAGATTAACAACTTAGCAATTTCTCCTCCTCCTCTTCCTCCTCTTCCTCCTTCTTCTTCTAACTGGACCTTATTGGTTTTGTTGATGTGGGGAATATCCATAAAGCATCCTCTTCTACCAGCGCAGATTAGCACTGCTCTTGTAATTTATAAGTAACTTGCTCATCACAGCTACGTGTTAGAGATAAGAATTAACTCAAGGTCTTCCTGACTCCGAAACCAGCTCTCTGTGGACACTATGCTACATTTGTTTTGCGTTAAAAAAATAACTTCCACTTACTCCTATAGGTAGTATAGTAATTGCTTTAAGAATAATATAGCCAGGTGTATTCTTTTCAGTTTCGCGGTTTGTTGCATTTGGAAAATCACATTTGATATCTTGTAGTTTTCCACTTAAGAAGATTGAGGTGTAAAAATTAGTGGCTTAGTCAGGACTTCTTATTTGCTAGGTATTCAATATTATATCTACTGTTAAAGTCTATCTCTCCTGCCTCGTTGTTTCATGGGTTTTATTCTGGATTGTTTTAATAAAGACTAATATTTGGGTTGATGGATACGATTGCTGAAAAGCTCAATTAGACACACTGCTTAATTTCAGAGTTAACTTCTACAAGTTACTCAAAAGTCCTTCGACACCTAGAGTGATTTCATCTACCAATCAAAAGGAAACATCAAATGTAGACAGAGTTAGTATCAAGATGCTTGATGGGCGTCTAAACCTTATTGAATGCCAAAACTGGGATACCTTGCAGTTGCTGAAGTAAAGAGGAAAGCCCACTCTGTTACAGGGACCATTTAAGGGTCATCTGGGTTAAACTAGTTTCTTTGACACAATGCCAGGCACATAGCAAATGCTTAATAAATGTTTGTTGACTGACTACAGTTAGGTAATGCCTTCTTGGACACCAAAAAGCAGAGTGCCTTATGATTACTAGAGAAAGTAGGCAATTTTTAGTTAGAAACTGGGGTTGTTTTAAGAATAATTCTAAGTGGGGTCTGGTGTGTGTGTCTGAGTGGCATCTCTCCATGGAGAACTTGGGAAGCCTGCTTCCAGAAGAAATGTGATGACATGTAAGGGAAGTGCCTTGAAGAGACCTCCTGTGGAGCATGTATGGGCATCCCATAACTGATTCCAGTTGTCTAAACGGATGTTGAAGAGGAGGCTGCCTGATTGGCTGCAGAGGCATCCAATCCAAAACAACCTGTCACCTTTGGCTCTGATCTCTTTGCCTCATTTGCTTCTGAGAGATTTTAAAGACACGTTCAATCGTGGTGTCTGGTGAAGGAAGGTCTTTGACTTTCAGGGAGCAAGGTACGGGAATCTGGGGATTGAAATACATGTTGGATTTTACAGTCAGCACAAAATAAATCCCCTGAGTCATAAGGAGAGATCTTTGGAAATGACCTTGGGGACCTCAGCCCAGTGGAAGGATTCAGCCAATTAGTGATGCCACAATTGAATAAGAACTTGGTGGGATCGATTAGGAATTGAGCTACTACCTCAGTCTGAGACTACTCCCTCAGAGATAGGGATGGTATACAGAAGAGTATGCCCTATCTCCGCCATGGGGAGAAATGTTTATATGTTTGTTCTGGTTATGTCTTTAAAATTCTTTTTCTGTAAATATTAATGTTAAATCACTACTATATAAATGGGGGAACACAGCCAATAAGGACTCCATCTATTTTTTTAAAGGAGAGGCACCCCAACTCCCTCAGAGTACCTCTAGAATCCTAAGGGGAAAATGCAGAAGCCAGGCCCCAGAAGAGGGGGACAGTGCATACATTTTACAAGACAACTTTCAAAGTGGGAGCACTTAAGTTAAATTAGCTTTTTTGTAACCTCCACACATTATTCTCTGTTCTGCCTTCTGAAGTTAATCTGGACAAGTTTTGTCCTTTCCACCACATGATAGCCACCCTTCAAATACGTGAAGGCAGCTGTCATGTTCCATACACAGACACACACACACACACACACACACACACACACACTCATACACACACATACACACACATGCACCCTAGTCTTTTTTTTTTTCCAGACTAAACATGTCTAGTTTCTTCCAACCAATACTCATATATGGACTCAAGGCCCTTTATCATCCTTGTTACTCTGAATATTCTCTAGTTCATCAATGTCCTTCTTAAACTGCGGTTTCCAGAAGTGAACACACTATTCCAAATGAGCTCTGACAAGGGCAGAATACAATGGGACTATCACCGTTCCATTTCTAGAAGCCATCTCAACGCAGACCAAGATTGTGTCAGCATCACATCACACTGCCCATGTTAAGCTTTCAGTCAGTGCACCAAGTCACTCTCTTCTCCACCAGAACAATTCCTGTCTATCCATGTCTCCTCCATCTTATACTTGTGAAGCTGATTTCTGGGACACAAATCGAAGACTTTATATTTATCTTTATTGACCTAATCCTTATTGGTTTCATCCCAGTACTCTAGCGTGTTAAGATTTTTTTTTGAACTGTGTCCTGTCACCCATTCTATTAGCTTTCCCTCCCAGCTTGGTGGCATCTTCAAATTTCTTCTATGCCTTTATCCAAGTCATTGATAAGAATGACACAGTGCAGAGCCTGGCACAGATCCCTGTGGTATCCAATGAAGTCCTTCTACTATGTTGATATTGGCCCATTCTCAATTACCTTTTGAATTTGACTATCCTGACAGTCTGAATCTATCACTTTGGATGTGGCCTTTTGACTGAGTCCGAGTTTTACAGAACAAATCCTTTTATTAAGGGGATTTGTTCTGTGAAGTTTGGATTCAGTCAAAGGGCCATTTGCGGCCTCGAGACCGCAGGTTCCCCACCCCTGGTCTAATCCATATCTCTCTATCCTCTCCACAAGGATAGTATGATCATAAGGCATAGAAGGGCTGTGATCTGTATTGAGGGCTGCAGTATTCACACAAAAAAAGTAGTGAGTCTTTTCATGTAATGATGAGGTTCTAGACACCTTAATGTTGCTGTGCAGTTATGTATGAGATTAAATGAAAGCTCCTTCCTAGTGCTTTCTAGCTTCAGGGGGTCATCTTGAATTTCAATTTCTTTGTTTTCACTAGTAGAGACACTACATGAAAATATCTTTGTAGTTTAGTGGGAAATTCAGCAGCTCCAATTAAACTATAATATGCCATGACAACAAATAATTGCCAATTCAGAGATAAGAATGAGTTCACAGAAGTAAATGATCGGAATGATGAATCTGTGAAAGCAACAATATTTTCATTTTTGTGTGGTAATTACTTTTAATCGCTCAAAGAAAGCTGTCTTGATGTACAAGTGATATTGTCTCCAGTTTCATTATTTAGAAGTTAATCTATTAGGTATATGCAACTTTTCTCAGAATTCATTTTAAACTATGATTTATTATTTTTCACTCTCTAAAGACAAATTTGGAGTTTTATGCTATCCATATCGCACGTTGGATATTTGGGGGAATGCCATATATCAAAGGTATAAAAATACATTGTTTAAAGGGTGAATTGCATTTTTGCATCTAATATATTACTAGCTAATATTTATATAGCATTGTAGAGTTTGCAATATACTTTATGTAGATGATCCAATTTGATCATGTAACAATAGTATTAAAACCTCAGATTTGAATAACTCTTTATATTTTATGAACTTAATCTCATATACGTGAATATAAACTATTTATAAACATGAACTTACTTGAAAATCACAATATCCGCATGAGATTGGTAGTAAAAGGATGATTATTTCTCCTCCTTGTTTTACAGATGAGAAAATTGTGGCTTTGACTGTGATTTAGTTGTAAAAGTTTCATTTGTAATAACAAATATCAACTTTAATTATGTAAACTAAATCTGCTAGTGGTCTAATATTTAAAAAAAATCAATGTGTAATTTCCCTGAAAACATATGGGGGATTTGTTTTGTTTCTCTTTAGGACGAAGACCTGGCCCGCCAGCTGGTGGAGCTGGGCTACAGAGGGAGTGGAGAAGTCGCAAGAAGGGAAGATTTTGAAGCAAGGAAGGGAGCTATTGAGATAGCAAGACTTGCAGAAAGGACTCAGAAAAAGTAAGTGGCTGCTGCCCAACCCAACCCAACATATGGACCATTTAGATTTCAAAAACTTATGTCTTCCTATTTTTTACCTTTCTGAAAAGCCAACCCCTCCCCCCACTCCCACAATCTTTTTGGATTTTCTCATCTATAGAAGCACAGGCTGATGCAGATAGAACTAAAAACATTTCAACAAACTACGAAGATCAGTCAGCTGGAATGTGCCGACTATAAAAATACACTAGATGTTGTACTTACTGATGTATCAAATAAAAAATGCATCTAGTCAGCATGCCAATAAAATTTTGTTAAAAAGTAACTCAATAGTATATGTACTAAATGGCTGGGACTTTGGACTTAGGATTCTTTGCTATTTCTGAGGTCTATAAAATCTTTTGTATTTTTAATTTTCACTTCTTAATTTTCACTCTATTTCCTCCTCCCAAATGTTCTTTGATCCTCACATTCAACAACATTGAGGCATTGTGTTTGGTCAGATGTTTGAGTAAGCTGTGAAGGCTAAAGTAATCCATAGAAACTGATCATATCTTACCAATCAACAGAATACAATTAGAGAAACATTTTTAGTCAGCTGTTCTATATCCTACATGATGCTTGAGCATACACATACATTGAACTGACAAGGCAACTTGACAAAGGTACGCCAAAGCATTAGTCGTTCAGGTTGTTAGATTTGATGTTGATTTTTAAATGTTAGAAGAACTGCTTAGGTATTGGCTCTTCTATTAGTAGTGAAGGGTTTTGCTCAGCTCTTTTCATTGTCATTATGAATAGAAAGTCTTCATCCATTTACTCTGAAGTACAAAAAACGGAGCAGTACCATTTGCTTGTTGGTGGAATTTAAATTAATCCTTTGAATGTCCAATTTTAATTGGGAATGCTAATACTTATTTTGTTCCAGACCTTAGAAAGCCTGGAATTTAGTACCCTAATGTTCACTGTTAATACAAAAACCCATTAACATTATTGAACTCTAATAGTAAGTCTGGACTTCCACTAAAATAATCTAAGTTGTAATGAAACATGGTCAGTGTATTAATGTCTTGGTTAAATCTTAAGGTGAAAACTTTCTGTGCTGATATCAGAGTAGTAAAGAGTAGAAGTGTGTTAACTCCAAAATTTCATGAGGAACTTACACACACATATGTAAACATGGCTTTACAATTCACATATTACTTTCTACCTGATATAACCTATTTCATATCAAAAATGGTGGGTTATGTGTAAAAAATGGCTTGACTTCAAAGTCACAAGTGGCCTGTTTGTTTATAAAGATTATGTCTGTGTGTGTGTGTGTGTGTGTGTGTGTGTGTGTGTGTTTTGTATGGTTATAGGGCAGTAAACATTTTAAATCAGTAAAGCTGGAAAGTACCTGGAAGACAAATTTTACTTCTCTTACTTTGCTGAGTTCAAGACTAGCCAATAGATAGCATCTCAACTTTTTTTTCTTTTGCTCCTAAAAATTTGTCTCAGAAATCGGGGTGGTCTTTTTCTTTAAGAAGGCTAACTACTCAACTGGCTTCATCCCACTCAGTTTAACCTCTTAGAGGAGTTTGCTTTCCAGTCATCACTTTTCCTGCTTTACTAGCTTCTTACTCTCTGCTTTGCCCATGGGAGGGAGGGAGGGAGGGAAGGAAGGAAGGAAGGAAGGAAGGAAGGAAGGAAGGATGGATGGATTATTCTTTCTGGGCTTAGCTCAGCAGCACTACAGGTACCTGGGCAGGGGGAGGGGTTTGGGGTTAATCTCTGTCTTAAAAGTATTATGGGAAGTTGATACTTTTTTGGCTAACAGTCATAGCCGTCCTTCAGGTTGCCCTGCTCAGTCTCTGAATACTTGCAGTCCTGGCACTAGAATCTTATTTTTCTCAGAGGTGTAGTCCTGGTTGCCCTTTCTATAAGGTTATTTTTATAGCCCCCTCCCACTTATAAACTATCTGCTATGTGGTATACAGGTGCTCTTTACATTCAGGTTTAAGAGAGCATTTCTCCTCTATTGCTCTCAAGAAACAGTGTGAAATAGACAAGTTATGTCTTTCATGTCTGCCCAGCCCTCTTTCCTGGCACCCTGTTGCTTATGGCACTACTACCCCCCATCTCTATTACCCAGCACTGTCTGGCCTTGCCATGGCGTGACACCCAAAGCCACATTCTTTCTACAGTTGTTCATGACACAAATTTATTTTCTTTGATATATCTTAATAGATATTTATTTAATAACAATAATAACTAATATTTATTTAAAAATATCAATCAGGAGAGGCATAGAAAGAAGTTTATATGTTAAATATCTGGGGCCTTTGATGAACTGCAATCTAAATGTAATTCAGCTGTGTGATGTGGCAACCAAAAAAACCTGATATAACCTTGGGCTGCTTTAAGAAAGGAATAGTTTCCTGGAATAAGGATGTAAAATCCCTCAGAATCCTTCCCTGGCAAGATCACATCTGGAGTACTGCATTTAATTCTGAGATAACACCCTTTCATATTGTTGTTGTTATTGTTCGTCCTTTTTTCTCAAAGAGGAACAATGGCATCAAGAGGGTGGTGCCTTGACTTACAAGTGAATTGGATTTAAGTGAGGTAGGGCTGTGCAAGGTCACCGGCCTCACTCTTTCCTCCACAGTGACCACAGTCCGGTGGCAAGACATAGGTCAGGATGACTGGTGATAGCTCATGATGCAGTGGGAGACCTTGGCCTTTTTAAGCCTTATCAGACAGGTGAGATTCCAGAGATGGACCTCAAATCCATGGCATAGGAGAAGCGGCTGAAGGAACTGGGTGATTAAGTCTAGAGAAGAGAAGAGAATACTCAAAGAGAACAGGATAGCCCCCTTCACCATGTAGAAGAGAGATTAGATTTGTTCTATTTGGTTCCGGAGGGCAGAACCAGGAACAATGCAAATTTCAAAGAGGCTGATTTCAGTTTGACATCAAGAGAGACTTCTTAACCCCAAGAGAGGTGTCTGCATTGGAATATGGGGCCTAGGTGAGTGGTGGATTCTTCACTGTCCTTGGAAGTCTCAAGCAGAGGCTGGATGTCCACTTCTCTGGTATGTGATAGTAGGGGTTACTGTAGCATATGAGTTAGATTGCATGGCTGCTGAGGGCCCTTCCAACTCTTAAAATTCTATGATTCTTGTTTTTGTATAGTATTTTAAAGTTTGCAAAGTGCTTTACATGTGTTACCTTATTGGAGCTTTACAACAACATCGTGAAGTTTTATAGGAAACATTCCCATTTTATAGATGATAAAACTGAGACTCAGAAAACTTAAGTGATTTGCCCACAGCCACACAGTGAGAAGGCCTTCTTGATTCTAAATCTACTATTCTCATCTACTATACCGTGATACATACAAAACTCTGACTCTTTTTGTCTCACCCATACTTACTACAATAATAGAGACAATTATTCTGATTTTGTAATTCACACCAAGGTGTGAAAGATGACTTTTGAGATCCTGTGATTCTACGATGTCTTCACATGGTTCATTCAAAAGAGCCCAGGACTTGGCATCAGGTGACTTGGGCTGGCAGACCAGCTCTGCCACTCTTAGCTGTGTGAACTTAAGTCATTTCAATTCCCCGAGGCTCAGTTTCCTGATTTGCAAAACAGGAGTACTATTATTTGTATTTTCAAATGATGTGAAAAGAATTTTTTTAAACTTTCTACAATTGTCCTGGCCTAATCTTTTCTAAGCATATGACCTATTCTAGTGCAGATACTCAGCAGTGACTAGAAGAAACCTTTGAGAATTAAAGGCTGCATCAGCAACAAATTGAAGTTTAAAAAAAAACTTTTTAAAAATGCTTTATAAATATGATCTATTATCATTATTGCTGATAAACACAATGGGTTACTACTTCCAGGGGGGTTTATACCTTAGAGGAAATGTCTAGAAAGGCAGTGTTTTAAGCCAAAGGAATGAATTTCTAATCATGCAACTTCAGACTATGTGAAACAGTGTAGTAGATGGGCTGAGATACTTTCCTGGTGCCCCTCAAATCATACAATGTAGGTGCTTGCCTACTATTCTTCCAATCTCCTTTAGGAAATAGGTCTGCTCGAATACAAAGTTTCTTTATGTAACTTTGGAATTCAAGAATTCTCCTAGGGATTTCTTTTCTTTGCCTTTTTCAGTTGACTAGGATGATGGTCTTCGGACAGACCTCCCACAAAGGAAAGTGCTTGGGTCATTCTTTGTGCTTGTCTCTGCCTCAGGCTTAGTGCTACATTATTCTCAAACAGCCCCTCTACCAACTGACAGATCAATAGACTCACTGTATTCTGGTTGGTCCCTCTTTGTCATATTTCTTCTATTCTCTTCATGAACATTTGCTGTTCATTACAGTATCTTTCTACAATTGTCCTGGCCTCATCTTCTCTAAGCATATGGCCTGTTCTAGTGCAGATACTCAGCAGTGACCAGGGACTTTGATCTGTGCTCATGGCATGACTTTCTTTCAGATTCCCTTTGGAATTCTCTGTATGATTCCTAAAAGCAGACCTGACCCTGCCGATACAATGCTTAGTTCAGGTCCAACACTGGAATGGAATGAGGTATTAATAAGTCATTAAATCGTTAACAGCGGAACGTTTATTTAGCTGTAGCATAGAAAGGGTATTCAACAGTAGCACTTCAATTTGAACGGATACGGGGATCCCTTTACCCATTATGGAAACCTGTCTGATCAGCAGGGTAGGGTATGGTAATTTGATTGGTGTTGGAGCATCTACCAAGTCTGAGGAGACCGGATTTCACGAGGAAGTCTTTTTATGCACTTAGGTAGCCAAGAAATTACATTCAGTACAACCAGAGGGCCCAGGATGCTGCTGTCAAAGAGGTGCAGGGGCCAATTAGGTCCTCAGTGCAGTTTTCTCTTCTTTTAGGGAAAACTAGCGTAACCCATCTTTGGGGTGGAGGAGGTTGAGAAGGGAACTCTTTTAGACATTGGTTCTATCACAATAACAAAGTACACATGATACTTACCAGC